CTGTGATTCTGTGACCTGTCTTCATTCAGTAATTAGTTGAAAAGAGATACAGAGCAGTGCCTGAAATAATTTCTACCTTTTTTGACATTTTGGGGAAGGTAGATGCCAAAGACACAGCTGTTCAGAACCACTGAACACTAGACCACTTTCTAGATCTTATTGACTCTTGCTCCTATGAAATACTTGCCACTCAGAGAAACACTATGAAGATGGGAAGCTACTGTGAACAATACCAAGGTGGGAACTTGCTTAATACTCCCAAGAAATGTTTTGTGCAAAGAGAAAATAAACTGCTCTGCTGGATCACTGAAGTCAATATGAGTAAGTGCAATGAACAGCAAACAGAAGAGTATCATCTTTGCATTGTATTTCACCATCCAGTTTCTCAGGCTGCATACCTATCAGAGCTGGAAGCAAAAGGACTACACAGAATGTAGGGAAGTCTGCCAGCTATAGGACTGCAAAATGATCACAGCTATAGCAATGGTAGCAAGTAATTCAGCACAATAATTTTTAAATAAAACAGCACTTGAAGAGAATTATAATCACCCCCCTTCACTAAAAAGAAAACTGGAGTGTCAGGCTGAATAATGCAATGTTATTTGATAGAAATCTAGTCCTTTAGAAAGCTTGTGGGGGGTACGGGGAAGTACCAGTGACTGGAAGCTCATAATGAATATATTATTTTGACTTCCAATCGAAGAGTTAAGACAGTACAAGAGAATAGAAATCAAAGTGCAATTGACTATTCGAACATTTAAAAATAAATCTTAAAAAGTATATTTGAAAAAGCCTGAGCAAATCAAAAGAGAAACTAAAATGATTCCTTGCAGATCTCAAGCTGTTCTCATTTTCTCTTCAAAGACTACTCTTCCAAAACAGCAAGTTGTTATTCCCCAAAGGACGGCTGCTTCTACCACTTTTCTCTTTCTTCTTCAACATATTCAATTTCTTGCAAGCTGCCTGCATCTCCATCTTTAATTCAGTCCAAGGTAATAAAAGAAATTAAAATTGCAGGCTTTAATTTTTTTCCACATCTTAAAGTATATAGAGGTATAATTCAACTCTTTTATCTACAATGTAACCATCCCTAAAGCCCTTAAGGTAGATTTTTTTCTTTTTATTTCATTCCTCCTTTCCCTTCTTTCCCACACAGGAGAAAATCAGACCCGCTTTTACTTTAAAAATATTCAGTGTGTGGACATTTAGGCAAATTTTAAGAAAAAGAAAACAAAAAAAAAGAGATCATGTAAAAGCCATTCTAATGCTGAAGCAATGACATTACATCATTATCTCCCTTCCTCAAACCAAATGCAAACAGTAGAACATTGTTCATTTACTAAACTTCTCCAAACTCCATCTATGATTGAAGGATCTTCAGTACTGTAATGGCTTTCCTTCTTAATTGAGTTTGTTTGAGCCATGTGAGGCAGTCCTGGAAATTAGGGACACGTTACTTACCTAGAACCGTCCAGTCCAGGTAAACGGCAAGCTGGAAAAGGTAATCTTCACTCATTTATAAACAAAGTGCTGATGAAAAGCTAGGCTCTTACTGATAAAGAATATCTTCTAAGTGTTGGACACTAGTCATTAGATAAAATATAAAAAATACCAGTCTTCCTACTCTCAGGAGCAATCTTAGACACTGGGACAAAAGTCACACACCACTTTCTGTAGTCTTCTCTAGCCCTAAAAAAACTGAGATGAAGTGATGCTCAGTATCAGTTTCAAGTGTGATGATTGCACCAACTTGGCCAATATATAGGCTCATGTTTAAGCACAGTCCTTTTAGACAAGGTTTGAAATTTCTCAGGCTTAGTAGGGCACTGAATTTTCAGTTCTGCTTTTAAGAAATACTCTACAGATTAGACTAAAATAATCTAGTGTCTGCACAGCCACTGTCACCATATCCTCCTCCGGCAGCTATGTTACAATAGCAAACATTTGGATCCTTAACTTAGAGGTTTCCTGGTAAAAACCTTCCTGTAGCCAGGTAAGAACCCAAATCCCAACCTCACCAGGAGCTCTGGCTAAACCCTTCTCACAAGATAAGGCTCTCAAGTTTCTCATATACTCTCCCTTTCTCTCCCTCAGTCGCCCACATGCCTCATTCCTCTCTGCTAAATATGTTCATTTTTAAAGTATTTCAGAATGGGATTTTAAATCACTTATACACAAAGAATTCAGCATATAGCTGTAGGGCAGGGTGACTAACAAGGAACTCTGAAACTGTCCCTTACAGATGTAGTACAAGATGATATAAGTCTATTCAGATGAAGACTGAAACACATGTCCTGTGCCCCACTCCAATGCCCTTTCACTTTACTGTAAGTTAATGATCTACTGTGCTATTTGAAAATACTACAATCTTTACAAGACTGACCCTTAGGGCAAATTATAAAATACCAAGCAAAGTAAATTTTCACTGGCCAAGAATATTCAACCAGCAAGAGGCACTCTATACAACATGAAAAAAAAAGACATCTAATACATTTGGGTGAAGTATATTGGAGCAAATGTAATAAATCCTAATGCATTAATAGGTGGCTAATCTGTGGATGACAGCACACAGTTAAAAAAACTCACATGCATCTTCAGACTCTGGAAGTTCAGAGATTTTTAAAAAAAGAGATCAATGAAAGGAAATTATAAAGGTCATGAGGATCCTTACCTGGAGTAGTACTGAAGTCTAAGATGCGGTGATGAGACTGCAGTAGATCAGGATTACTGGATGACAGGGTTCCACTGACAGGTAAAGCAGGAGGAATGTGTTTCGTTTGCCTCAGTCCCACAATGCTGTCATCCTGAGACTGGCCAATTCCAATGTCACTGCATCCAGAAAGAAATAATATCAGGACTAACACACATTCAAGAGCTTGAGCTGTATTAGAGGGATACGGGAATGTCTGTATTGCTACATTTCCACACTTTCAATTGATAGTACTGTGATTACTAATTGGGCATTAAAATTCTCCAGATAACAACACTTGCTGTCTGACTTTGTCAACAGAACCCAAATGCCCACTGAAAGTGATTAGATCTGCTGCCCACACTGACAAAGATCCTAGCGTTCAACACTAAGCTGTGAGGAACTGCTAGGCTCATTATTTTTGACCATTTCTCAGAGTGGTCAAGGTCTTTATTCCAAAGCTGGTACACACCTCATAATACTCGCATCACCCCACCACTCAAATTTGACTAATACTGCTGCCCCTCAGTGCTGTTTCATAAGAACTGAATTTCACAGGTCTTTTACCTCATCACAGATAGGATTTGCAACTGTATTTCAGGATGTACTGTAGCCACACAGCCTAAGATCTTTCAACAGAGGATTGTTGAGGTAATCAATTTTCCTACCCTGTACACCTTCTCTGAGTTTCTCTTCACTGAATGTGACTGAAGTGATGCCAGATAACTTGGGAGGCTAAGGTAAGCATCCACACTTAGGTGGTATGAGTATCCCCTCCACTGACAGCTGTAAGTAAAGTATTCTGTGATAGAAGGCAAAGAACTTTGTCTTCTAAATTGTGAAAGGCAGGGTATATAACGAGGTCAGCAGTGCTAGATGGGTCAGAGACAGAGCTATCACCATATTATAGCAGGCACTAATTTGCTTATTGCTTTTGAGTTCATAACCAGCAAGTGAAGTCAGAGCTAGTCATAACCAGCAAGGATGAAGTTGGAGCTAGTCATTGAACTTTTCTTTATATACATAGCTGCAAATACTCAATAAAATACCCTGCGGGTGTATAGTGTTGAATGGCAGCCATTATAGAAAATGAAATTAATTCAAAATTTAGCCACTATAAGCAAAGCCTTTTTAAAAGGCTAACACATCAAAGTCTGTATCTACATATGTAAATAAAACATAAACCAGAACTTAGATTTCATTGCAAACTGCTGCAACTTCAAAAAGTCAAGCTACTAAATCAAATGATGCAACACAAAAGACCATTTGTACCCTAATTTTGGGCACTTAAGCTTTTGTCTAGTGTTGTATACATTCTCAAAAAAACCCAGAGTAAACAGAATTGGGGGCCTGATAATTATCTCTGTTGAGCTGTAACAGCACAAGTATGGTTTTGTGCTTACCAATTAATTACTTTACCCAGGACACTTTTATACCACTTCTTTAAGTGCTATGAATTGAACAGTACTCTGGGAAGCTAGGCCAGTATCTCTGAGCGTTGAAGACACAATCCTAATTACATGGGCAGAGCAACTACTTTTTCAGAAGGCAATACAACTCAAAAAAGGTTGGAGGGGTATCTCTGTATAATATGTTTGGATTTTCTCCTTGTTATACTTTTTAAAAACAACATAATCCTGTATTACTAAAACATTTTACAAATTGTAAACCCCAAGCCATGAAAGTGACAGAAACACTCAAAGTCCACTGAGAAAAAGTTCTTGAATTCTCTCTCAATCAGAAGCTGAATCTGAATATCTGTATTTTTGTACTTGCATATAAAGCACAAAATAGTGTGACAAGCAGTGACCACTTCAGCACACAGCACTTCTACACTAAGCCACAAGCAATTCTTTCACTACAATTAAAAGCATTCTCAGCAATCGAGATCTTGTCTTTCAAGTAGGAACCACTTCCCATACACACAAAAAAACCAAGTAAACAAAAAACCCCAAAGCCCCTGAACCTAAAAGCGCTTTCAGATGGTTCTAAACTCAAATCAAATGAAGACAATGCGACCCACTCATCACTTATATTAACAGTTTCACTTGCATTATGTATTCCTTCTGGGGTCTGTCAGTGTTATATAATCTTATATCTATCCTGTGCACGAAGACAGAAGCAGCTTCAGTAAAGTGGATCAACTGATGAACGTAAGGTTTATTTGGGTTTGTTTTGTTTTTAAACGGAAGTAATGTTTCCAAAATTCCTCTCAATTGTAAGTACTCATATACTAAATGTTTTATATAAATGTATATATTGTCCATCTTTCAGAGAAGGGGAAGACCTTCTTCAGCCACAGGCTTTCCAATTTAGTCAAGAGGCTAAATTAAACAAGAGTAGCGGGGAATCGGGAGGGGGAGAGTCCTCAATCCATCCCAATTCGATGCCAATGACAGCAAGAGATGCCCCATGACTAGAGTAGGATCACAGGCCAGGATGAAAGCACCTGAAGTGCAGGACAAAGGACCACCAGTCAATAAATCAGCTTCAAAGGAGGACCAACTTAAATGCCTCTGCACTAACACACAGAGCATGGGAAATAAGCAAGAAGAATTACAGACATACACGTGCCTGCAAGGGCTATGATGTCATTGGCATCACTGAGACATGGTAGTGATGGAGGTGGGGTTGTGTTTAATCCATACTTGGAGCAACTGAGCCTACAAGACCAAAAAACCACTTCGAATTAAAAAAGTAAAGAAAGCAAAGAGCTCAAGTGGAGGCTGTAGCCAGAAGCACACTTCAAGAGATGCCTTATAGCTGGCAGAGAGAAGGATTTCCCAGTAGATGCAGAGGAAATGGTGCTGTTTACTCAGTTTAGGAAGTTGCTTGACATTATTGGACTAAAATGCAAGACTAAAAGAAAGCATTGTTTCCTGCTCAAACTGATTCATCTTTGATACCGATTTAATGTCTTACTTTTATCTGGATACATTCTAGAGGCACTGGAGACCTCTGCAGTATTCACATTCAAAAAAAGGCAGACAGTTTCAACTCATAAACTAACTGACTTGTGAAGTCTTCATATATCTACTTTAATTAACGAGTAAATCAGCTTTTTCATTCCTCTTGGTTTTTGGTATTTGAAAACACATGAGAATAGGTGAATAGGTAAAATCCCTTAATCTATATGCAATACCATTAATTATTAGGAAGAACAAGGTAAAAGTTTTTATGCAATAGTGGAAAAAAAAGCACAAATGGGAAAGTCTACAGGTACACATCTCTATGCAGAAACAAACAACTGAGTGTCAACAAGCTTTCCAGACAAATTGCTATATATAACACAAGAATTAAAGCTAGCAAAAGAAAACAGGTTTACTGTTGTTCTGAGTCTTACCGAAAGAGCTCCCTGCACAAATGAAAGGAATAAAAAAAAAAAAAAAAAAGAATTTTATGCAAAAGCTGTGAACAATGGTGAACAATAAAAAAAGAAAAATCACACCTAATAGTATACATGGCTTATCAGAGGAACAAACATACAAGACCAGTGAAACAAAAGGCAACATTCTAAAGACAACACAAAAAGAGGATTTACAGATTCTCCTCTACTGAAATGTATCTGTATCAATTTAAGAATTATTCATTATTTGGACATAATAATTTATACCCATTTAACCTTTACATTACCAATATTCTATTTATAATGCTTCAGAACAGTATTAACTTAGTAGGGAATACCTAACATTATTTAAGCAATTTTTTTTTCTTAAAATAGCAGGAAAAAAATCCTAGATTTCCAGCATGAGTGTCTTTTTCATGAATTTACATAGAACAGATTTCTTTCTCAACGGCACACAGAAAAGAAAAATGCAAGAGAAAATACCGATACACATCAACGACCCTCTACAATTCATTTTTCGCATCAACACCATCTCTCTTGGCCAAGAACCAGATTCCCATAAAAATCACAAAAAAGTCATTCTTCTATTGTTTCCAACAATCCTTATCAGAACTCTATTTCTAAAATGTGTTCATAGAATAAAAAATATCAGATACCATATTTAGCTTTCATTAAAAAAATAATTCTGTCACAGAACTCAAGTTAAAATTTTAACCTCAGTCTGTCTTATGGCAGTACACAGAAATTCTTACAGACCACTGGAATGTAGATAAATTGAAATCATTGGTCCTATCAACCATTTGCGAGTGAACCTGCTTGCAGAGTTAGTCTGAAATTAATTGCCTGGGATACTTCCAGTTAACAATCCTCTTAAAAGAAAAGAGTAAATGACATGAAAAAGTATTTGTGCCATCACTTCATCTGTAAGAAGTAAAATAAGTCCATATTGATGTCAGGAAGTGCATTATTAGTAGTCTATGATCATTCAAACATTCAGGCTAGTATTTTGTAGGTTTTTTTTCAGATACAACCATGGTTTGCACTAATAAACAAAAAAGTATAATGACAAAATGTAAGTATCATGAGAAATTATTAAAATTTAACACAAAGGAAATATTTAAGAGGAAATAAAAAACTCACTTGTATGGTTTCTGAGGCAGAATACTGATTCGAGTCTTGTCAAGTATCTTCTTTAATTTATTTCTTCCCCCAACTGTGTTGGCTTTACTTTTCTTATTTACTTTTTCTAATCCTATTACCTGCTCCACATCAACGGCAAGGTCTGGGATAGAATAACGACTCGCCTTTTTAATGTCACCAATTTTAGGCAGGTGGGGAGCACCATTTCTTTTTTCCTCTGACAACCTTGTTAAGAGTTCTTTAAAAACTGCACAAGACAGGAAAAGAGAGGAAAGAAAAAGAACAAAACTGTAAAAGAAAGCTCTGTACACCAGACCAGTTTAATATTAATCATCACCAAAAAATGATTAAACAAAAATAAAAAAAAAAAAATCAAACACAACTGATGTGGAGATCAAGTGACATATTCTAAGCGTGAGAGGAAGTCTCCATATATAAATGCAAAAAATCATCTGATGAGTTGATTTGTAAAAATAAATTAAAACTGATAATTAAAACGAAGGAACTGTAGAAAAAGCGGGAACAAGGACAACCAGCTAAGGATGAGTATTAAGGGCTAGCTTTTATTATTATGTATTAGTTTTGCCCTTAATATTCATCCTTATCTGCAGAGGTATACAGTAATCACCAAGAGACTTTGAAAGCTTCAAATAAGACACACAAAGAGAAGTGGAAGAGTGTAATCTGAGCCAATAAGTGTACTGTTGAATAGCAGCTGGAGGCTGCAGAGACAAATCAGATAAAATAAGATGCTGTTTAGAAAAAAAGGAAACTCTCTATTTTGGGATTTGTTGATAAGGAATAGTGCGTGAAATACACAGAAAGTAACCGCTCTGAGACTCAACTGTGATGTGATTTCAGTATTTGCAGTGGAGCAACAAGATTAAAATCTTAGAAAACCACAGATTTTGAAGAAATTAAGAAATCAGCTTTAATCTTGAACATACTAAAGCAACACATGAGATTCAAAAATCTACCGTGTGAAGGATGGTTACACAGAACTTACACACAGATAAAAAAGCACATACTTATAAAGAAGCACATACAGATATATTAAGAAATGCCTTAATTATTAGAAACAATTGAAATGTTAGAATCTTTACTGCAAAGCAAAAAAAAGTCCTCAGGAAAGAGATTTGACATATGCCTTTCAGACATAACCTAAGCATATTTAGCACTGCATCAGCTAATGCAGTGACATCCTGTGGTAATATTCTGACCTACTTATTTGCGATAAAGAACCTGATACTGCGATACATGGGGAACATATCACTAAATTGTATAAATAATCCAAGTATTCAGTGGTAAAAATCAAAACCAACAAACTGTTAATTACTTATCATATTAAATTTGCTCCTGAGCTGCTTCAAGACTCCTTCATGATTGCTCTAGCACTTGCTAGAGAGAGAAAGTAAGAGAATTGATTCAGAGAGTAGTAAGATTGTTTTCATGTAGCTGGCAGGTGACCTTATTAACCTTGTCACACTCATGTTAGGCATGGACTGAAAAACTATGAGCAAGTTCAGCAGACAGATTAAGATCACTGATCAACTGAAATTCTAGAAGAGGCTTTCCTGAGAATCAAAGAGCCATTTGGTTGCAAAAGACCTTTAAGATCACCGAGTCCAACCATAACCTGTCCACTACTAAACCAGGTCTCTAAGCAGCTCATTTACCTGTCTTTTAAATAACCTCCAGGGATGGTGACTCGACCACTTCCCTGGGCAGCCTGTTCCAGTATCTGATAACCCCTTCAGTGAAGAATTTTTTTCTCAATATCTAATCTAAACCTCCTCCTGTGCAACTTGAGACCATTTCCTCTCATCCTATCACTTGTTACCTGGGAGAAGAGACTGATCCCCCCCTGACTACAACCTCCTTTCAGGTAGTTGTAGAGGGCGATAAGGTCTCTCCTCAGTCTCCTCTTCTCCAGACTAAACAACTCCAGCTCCCACAGCTGCTCCTCATATGGCTTACGCTCCAGACCCTTCACCAGCATTGTTGCCCTTCTCTGGACACGCTCCAGAGCCTCAATGTCCTTTTTATAGTGAGAGGCCCAAAACTGAACACAGTTTTCAAGGAGCAGGGGGAAGGATCACTTCCCTTGTCCTGCTGGCTACACTACTTGATACAAGCCAGGATATCACTGGCCTTAGCCACTTGGGCACACTGCTGGCTCATACTGCATCGGCTGTCAGACAACACCCCCACGTCCTTTTCTGCCTGGCAGCTTTCCAGCCACTCATCCTCAAGCCTGTAGCACTGCATGGGGTTGTTGTGACACAGGTGCAGGACCCAGCACCTGGCCTTGTTCAACCTCATACAATCAGCCTCAGCCCACTGATCCAGCCTGTCCAGATCCCTCTGCAGAGCCCACAAGCAGAACAACATTTCCACCCAGCTTGGTGTCATCTGCAAACTTACTGAGGGAGCACTCGATCCCCTCACTCAGATCATTGAAAAGATATTAAACAGGACTAGCCCTAACACTGAGTCCTGGGGAACACCACTTGTAACTGGCTGGCAGCTGGATTTAACTCCATTCACCACAACTCTCTGAGCCCTGCCATCCAACCAGTTTTTTAACAGCAAAGAGTATGCTTGTCCACGCCAATGGCAGCCAGTTTCTCCAGCAGAATGATGTGGGAAACTGTGTCCAAGGCCTTACTAAAGTCCAGGTACCTTACATCCACTGTCTTTCCCTCATCCACTAAGCAGGTCACATTCTCATAGAAGGAGATCAAGTTAGTCAAGCAGGATCTGCTTTTCATAAACCCACGCTGACTGGGCCTGATCGTCTGGTTGTCCTGGATGTGTTGCATGATGGCACTGAAGATTATCTGTTCCATAACTTTCCCTGGCACCAACATCAGACTGACAGGTCTGTAGTTCCCCAGATCCTCCCTCCAACCCTTCTTATAAATGAGTGTCACATTTGCCAACCTCCAGTCAAGTGGAATTTCACCCGTCAGCCAGGATTGCTGATAGATGATGGAAAGGAGCACAGTGAACACCTCCACCAGCTCCCTCAGTACCCTTGGATGGATCTCATCTGGCCCCATAGACTTGTGTAAGTCTAATTGGCAGAGCAGGTCACTAACCATTTCCTCTTGGATCATGGGAGCTCTGTTCTGCTCCCTGTCTTCTGGGGCTCAGGGGTCTGGGCACCCAGGAAACAGCTGGATGTAGATTCTCCTTGGCCCTCCTTTTGTTGTTAATATAACTACAGAAATATTCTTTCTTATCTTTCACAGAATTAGCCAATTTAAGCTCTAGTTGGGCTTTAGCCCTTATAATTTTCTTCCTGTATGACCTCGCTTCACCCCTGTATTCCTCCCGAGTTGCCTGCCCCTTCTTCCAACAATCATAGACTTTCCTCTTTTTAATGAGATCCAGTCAAAGCTCTCTATTCAGCCAGAACAGTTTTCTTCCCCGCTGGCTCATCTGTCAGCATATGGGGATGGCCCACTCTTGCACCTCTAAGATTTTCTTCTTTGAAAGTGTCCAGTCTTCTTGGGCTTCTTTGCCCTTCAGGACTGTCTCCCAAGAAACTCTTGTCAAGCGGCCTTCTAAACAGTCCAAAATCTGTCCTCTTGAAGTCCCAGGTGGCAGTTCTGCTGACCCCTCCTCTTCACTTCTCCAAGAATCAAGACTTCTATCATTTCATGATTGCTGTGCCCCAGGCCTCCTCCATCATCACAGCACCTACAAGGCCTTCTCTGTTCCCAAACAACAGGTCCAGTGGGGCACCTTCCCTAGTTGGTTGACTCACCAGTTGTGTCAGGAAGTTGTCTTCCACACACTTCAGGAACCTCCTAGATTGTTTAAATTCTGCTGTATTGTATTTCCAGCAGATATCTGGCAAGTTTAAGTCCCCCACAAGAACAAGGGCTAGCAATCTTGAGACTTCTCCCAGTTGCTTGTAGAATATTTCATCTGTCTCTTCTTCCTGGTTAGGTGGTCTATAACATACTCCCACCATGATATCTGCCTTCTTGACCTTTCCCCTGATTCTCACCCATAAACACTCTACCTTATCATCCCCATCACTGAGCTCAAGGCAATCAAAACACTCCCTAAAACACAGGGCTACCCCACCACCTCTCCTTCTTCGCCTGTCCCGTTTGGAGAGTTTATAGCCATCCATGGCAGCACTCCAATTATGTGAGTTGTCCCAGCATGCTTCTGTGATGGCAACTATATCATCGTTTTCCTGCTGCACAATGGCTTCTAATTCCTCCTGTTTGTTGCCTGTGCTGCGTGCATTGGTATAGATGCACTTCAGTCGAGCTATTGATCCTGACAGTCTTTTGAGGGGAGAAGTTTCCAAGTGAGTATTTGCTGTTATTTCTAACCCATCAGCAACCTTTGCCTCTTCACTTGGATTACTATCCCCCACATCCTCTGAGGTTGCAGACCAGAGGATCTCGCTACCACCCTGTCCCTCACACATTGGCGTGCCATCCCCAGGATTATTTCTAGCAAGCCTGATTTCATTCCCCTTCATCTTCAAATCTAGTTTAAAGCTCTTTCGATGAGCCCCGCTAACTTCTTGGTAAGGATCCTTTTGTCCCTTGGAGAAAGGTATACCCCATCATTTGCCAGCAGGCCTGGTGTTGTGTAGGCAAACATGTAGTCAAAACCCCCAAAATTCTGCTTCTCACACCAGCCTTATTTCCTGGCTCTTCCTGTTCCTTCCCTCATTGTTCCCTGTAATAGGACTGATAGAGGAGAACACTACTTGTGCACCTGGTCCCTTCATCCTTTGTCCCAAGGCCTTGAAGTCCTTCTTAATTGCACTCAAGCTTCTTGATGAGATTTCATCACTACCTACTTGGAAAATCAGTAATGGATGGATACATGGGCCTTTCCAGAGTTGGAAGTTTTCTTTTCACACCTTTAACCTGGGCCCCAGGGTAGGCAGCAGACTTCCCTGAGAAATGGGTCCAGTCTGCATATTGGGCCTCCTGTTCCCTTCAGATGGGAGGCCCCTATGAAAATGACCCTTCCTTTCTTCTTTATGGAAGACATTTTGATGCAGGGCTTCGGTTGTCTTAACGTTGGGAACGTTTCTAAACTGTGAGAACCATAATTCTCATTAAGGTTTGGTTTCACTTCACATCTGTTAGGCAAGGGAATGTGGAAGGTTGAGATTATCACAGGGGAGACACCTGCTGTGCTGGGCAGGAACTTGCTGCCATCTGTCCTCGTCTCCTGAATTTCTCTATTCAGTTAGGTGGAGAGAGGATAGGGAGTTCTCCACTGCATGAGTGATGTCTGCCTGCTGGGTCTGAGACAGGGAGGGTAAGGTGTTGTTCCAGTAGTAGATCTCCCTCTTATACTCCCTGATACTCTTCAACTACTCAGCTCCTGGAGCTATGTCACCCAGGCACACCTCTCACAGGTGAACTCACTACTGGCATTCAATACCAAAGGACTATATGTTACATGTACAAACACATTTCATATAGTTCAAGCCACATGGTTGCAATAGTTCCCCTTAATCTAGAAACATGCACTTGTGAAAGTGAAGGCATTTTATATAAAGCCCTATTCTTAAATTTTTCTCTGCAATTATGAACTAAGGTATTTTAGGACCTGCAAGCCTCCTTTTTCTTCTCTCTCCAGCAGAAAAGTGTTTCAAACTATTTTAAACTATTAAAAAGGCTCCATCAAAATCAGAACAAAAAGTGCATGCAAACTTACCAAATAAATTGGTTTTCACAGTGATAGACAGATGAGTGTTATTTCTAAGGATTTCCATGGCTTTTGACAGCTGAATGTTTTCAAAGTTTTGACCATTCACTTCCAGTATCTAAAAATGTGGATAGGTAGCGTTATTTTTATTTAGTAAAGAGAAAGGAAACAAAAAAGGGGAAAAGAGGACATTTTAAAATTACATACCTGGTCTCCACGTTTCAAGCCTGCTTCTGTAGCTTTGCTACAAAAATCTACACTGTCAACAAAGATTCCAAATCCTTTTTCTGACCCACCCAGCAAGATAAAAGGCAAAGGGGCTTCTCGAGATGGCTTTGTTAAGGTTATCAATCTTCGTTTAGCTTTAGCAGCACAAGCAATATTTAACAGCCTCAAATGTCCACCCATTTTCTACAAAAGAAAAGCATAATGAGTTACATGAAACAACAGCCTGGCTATTCCCTGCCATCCCTAACCGCTAGGAAAAAAACCTCTCACTCTTACCTCCCTCTCCAAATTGTTCTCAAATTCTTCCAGAAATCGAGTCATAGCAGAATCTCCTTCAAAATCATTGAAGTGATTGTTCACCCACAACAGTACTACCCGTGTAACCTGAAAATTAATCAAGAGGATGAATGTTTTCCAGGAATACCCAAAACAGCACTAGTGCTAAGTCCTTTAAAAATACTGCTCTTGGAAGCCCTTGTAATCCACTGGAATCCTAAAGATTTTATACATATATACACCCAAACCTATCTTTACTAATATGCAATCATTTACCAGGAGGATAGTATTAAAATTGCTTTTACTTGTATAAACAATTTTATGTTGTATTTCATAAAGAATACAATAAGTTAGAAAACTAACACTGGCTGTATCAAGTTTGATTGAGTAGAGAATAGAGTACACAGGTACAAGGCAAAGAGTTAGATCCATTTCTGACTTATAGCAACAATTTCCTGTTCATGTCCATTTCCAAATCTGCTTAATTCTTTGGGCATGTGATCAAAAAGCTTCCGATACTGTTTTATTATTGGCTTTTGAATCTCAGAAATCTTTAGATAAACCACCATTAAGTTCATTAGGCATTTACCTGTGTAAAAGAGCTACTATATGTTTAGAGACAAGAAAAAAGATCTATTGTGAAATGCAGGGAGAAGGATTTAACAGCAAATTATATGCAACTCTTTTCCTTAGAGTTAGTCTTTCAGTTTACTACTCCTCCTTTCCCTCCACCCCTACTCTCCTCCAAGCAGCTATGGTTATCAAGCTGAGAATGAGCTTAGCGGGTATTTTACAGTGTCTTAGGAAGAAACACCTAAAGGCATACTATCAATTAATATTACTGAATGTAAAGTCACAAAATAAGAGTCACAATTTAAAAAAATATTCACTTCCACTATAAAATTTTATCTTGGTATGCAATTTCACCTGGAACATCAGCAGCACTTGCCCTGAGAAAATAAAATATTTTTTAATGTCTCAAATTAATATTGATTCTTACTATTTTTAAAAGCTTCTGAATAAAAAATGGATGTGCCACTCAAAGTTATCTTAAAAATACAGCTGCATTTCTTCTGCTATGCTTGGAAAACACATTAGTAGGGTAAAGTCCCTAAACATTTAACAAACTAGAGCTTAGGAAGCAAATCTCAGACAAATTTTAATCTGCTAAAGCTAACCACTGTCCATTCTCTGCCTCTGCACAAAATCTAAACCCCTGCAGCCTCTTACGCTAAAGATTTGACATGAGGCAGCCAAAAATCAAACCCTGTCACCACCATGGGAGCTGTATAGTTTATTGTGTTTATACAGTTTCCAAGTAGTTTCACTTTTCTTTCCCCAGAAATGCAAGTGAATTCAGAAGAATTGCTGAAATTCATGACCAAACTAATCGAGTACTTCAGAACTCAAGAGTTCAAATTTCTAACAAGAGGCACTATGTGCTGAAGCATCTACCCACGGGTAGGCTAGAGGTAGCATTTCTAATATATTTGAATTTTTTCCACCTTTGAAATTTAAGATGAACTTCCTTTCTGTTAAACACATGTGGTATTTTTCACTAATATGGATGACATTGGAAGATCCAGACAGTGTCTAGACAAATTTAGTCTAATTGCAGATTTTTAAACTGGGCCAGGAAGTTGCAAGCCATACTACGTAATATATTTTAACTCACTGCAGTGACAGCTTCAATATCAATGCTGCTGTCAAAGTTGGGACTTACTACTGTATTCAAAAGATACTGTGCCAGAAAGGGTTGAACAGTGACTTCCCCAGGAACGTCATCACTTGTGCCACAACCACACACAGCAATAAGAGAGAATAAAAGCTATAAAGTATAGTACAGTGCTGCTGGGCAAAATCCTCAATAAGGCTCAATCTTGAACGTCCCAGTATGATTCCTACCAAGTTCTGCTCATCCTCAGGAAGTTTTATTTCACTTTCCCTCTCCTCACCGCCTATTAGCCCCTAATATAAAATGGCCAAAATTTTCCATGTTCCATGTTCCCCATTTACTTATTTCCACTTGTCCCAAGCTGTTCTCCGACTCCTGCCTTTTTGTCAGCACTACTCAGTGTCAGAAAGGGTTGGTGATCCAGACAGCAGAACAAAGAGCTGCTTTATTTTCGTACCCGACAGCAGCAACTGTTCTGGCTCATGCTTTTACAGAGGCTGAGGGGATTACCCATTGAAGGACAAGAAAAGTAAGTTTAAGTACGAATTCCAATATTAGAGCTATGAAGTTGTAACAAGCCTATGCTAAACAATATTAGTTGCAAAGACTATTCTGTCAAAAGTAAGATGCTTCCTCCAACGCACAGATACACTAGCATTTCTAGAAGAAATACCCCAGCTTAAAGAGAAGTTGAAAATAAAATTTCTCTTTAACCTTTTTCATAAAATTCCCTTGATTTCGAATTCACAAAAAATATCTGGAATTTTTTACTTTTTTTTTTTAGCATATGAGAAAGTTGTATACAAGTGAAAATAAAGCATTACAGTGTGAAGCACAGTATAGCCTAAATAAACGGAGTGCCAAAACTGTATATACAGTGCCTTATTCTTCCATCATAACACTTCTGTTTAGGGAAGAGGATGTTTGACTGCTTTCTTGTGTTTTGGGGTTTTTCTAATGCTGCGTAAGGGTCAAAAGATTCTTAACAATGGCTATATTTTCAAGTGCCTTTATGTAGAAATAAATTATCACAAAATGTTTGCCAAGTTGCGTTAACTAGCAGTATATATGGAAAACACAGAACTTAAGTTATGTGCTCAAATTTCGAGACAAGACACGATTCCAATGAATTACATTAAATAAAAATACTTATTATTGGAAAAAAGCTTTCCCTGTACTTGCAAGCAACTAAGTTATGTTGTAAAAAAGGAGCATGGTAAAACTTGGCTAATTTACCTCATCTGAATACATTAGTACTTAAATAAAGTACAATAACATAAGGAAAAAACATTTTCTTAGTTTTATGCATATATTCTGCCACTAAAATATGTCAGTAGCTATTTGTGTCTTATTCAGCTAAGTCACTCCCTCTAAAACTTATTTTATTCTTAATAGCCTATGTTTCAACGCAAATGCTAACAGATACGTAATTCAGGGGATTTTAACCTTATCCCTGAGGCTGGGGTCATTGAACCACTCCAACAACTTCTTGCCCACTTCCATTGGGCTGGAAAGAAAGGTCCGGTATGTCAATAAGAAGTCTTCTATAAATGTTGGGTCTACCACAGAATGTTCTTCCACCAAATGCATTGTTAACCTTTCAGCTGTTCCCTATGAAACAAAAATCAAGCAAAACCCCCTTAGTTACTAAAACAGTTTCAATAAATGCAAATCTGTTTTCTAATAACATACTAAAGATACCTTACACTAGAAAGAATACTTATATCTATTGACTGATGAGCTAAGCAAACGTAACAGCTTAACCATTATGGGTAAGAAATGCAAAAAATTTCTGCAATGGAATTGCATAGAAATCACCTAGTTATCAATAACTGCATAGAGAAACTGTTGCATAACTGTAAAGAGAAACATAGATAGAGAAAGAAAGATATATATATCAGCTAATCTTGGACATAACTTGACAAGTTAAGAAGTTTACAGAACACAGACTTTTGCAAGACACTCCCTCTTTTGCTTTTACCTTGATGACAATGTGACCTTTCCTTGTTCCAGTGCGATCAAGTTCCCTGTGCTCCTTGACCATCACAATCTCCCCTTCCTCTTCCACCTTCTGCATGTTCTTTTCCACTTGATTGAGGATGCGGCAATAATCTTGCTGGGCTATACAAACAAACTGGAAAGAATCATTGCGCACCAGTATTAAAAGGTAAATCTTTAGAAACACATTCAGGCTTAAGATGCAAGTACTCTACTAAAGATAAAGTAGTTTCTCAACCTGCAGTGAGCCAAACTTGTCCTTCCATCACTTTAGCTGTCGTAAGCAGATGAACACAAGCATAGTACTTCCACTGAATTCTTGCAGTCAGAGGACACCAAGATCCATCAGAGCAAAATGATTTAGCATTACCAGTCATTTCTGTTTAGCTGCTTTGACCTTCCCTCTGCTAGAGATGAAGCTCAGTATCCTAGCTGGTATTTTTCTGCCATGCAAGCTCTTGTGTGGCATTTAGAAGGGTTAAGAGATTGAAGGGAAAATCTAGTTTTTGATTTTCGTGACTACTGCTACTGTAATTACTTTTAATTTTTCAGAGCTATTATTAATAAAGTCAATCATTGAGAAACCTGCATTGACTCAATTACACAAGTGCAAGCACACAGAAGCAAATTACTTCTGGATTAAAGCATACAGCAGGAAAAAATAGTTTTAGAATCATCTGGTCAGCCAAGAATAAGTGCAAGAATAAATATCTGAAGAATATTTCTAACACCTACACCATTCAAACATAATCAAGATCACTCACTACAACTTAGGAAAAAAATACTCTATACACTATAAACTGTCTTCCATAACTTGTTAAAAGTTTTATACCTTAGTTCCTTTTTGGGGCAAACACTCAAGATTAAACTGTCATATGAACTTGGGTATTTAACTGAGAGTGTTTCTTCTGACTGAAAAGTTGATAAACGATGATGTACGTACTTAGGACAAAGGGATGATATTCACACATACAGTATTTTCTCTGCATTCTTCATAATTCATCTACACACCTTTTCTATTTTCAGCAGCTAGTAGCAGCGAAAACAGAACTCCAACAGCTTGGATTTGTTGCAAAACGTTATCCTAACTTGATATCATTTATGCACTTTTAAGCAAAATGCTTAATTCACCCAGGGTTTGGCTATTTCCTTCTAGGTGGGAATAAGTAAATAGCAACCACAAATCCAGATCAGGCTAGTAGTTTTATGCTACGAGAAGCATTCCTTATATTAAATTACTTGTGCTACAGCAAACATCAAGGCATTTTTCTTGAAAGGTCAGATTGGTTGAAAATAGATTTTCTACTCAAACCATGGGACAGAGAGCTTCTATTACTTTAAGATTCAGTAGCTGAGTTGAGTAAGGATGAATGACTATTGCTTGTAGAAGAGCCTGTAATGGCTAATGGACTTCGAGATCTTAAGTTTGAAGCAACTGATATATGCAACAGGACTCCAAGTTCTGGAAAAAGCATGTAGACAAACCTCTTAATCCAAAATGATGAAGAGAATTCAATTTCCCAGATTGTGAGTATGCACATACTTCCCAACTGTTGCACAGGGTTACACGCTGGAGATTTTACATATATTCAGTATAAAATAAAACGGTGTCTGGCTATTGAGTTGCATTACACCTTATGTGATTTTCTGTGTATTACAGTCCGACACACTACCTGGCAGTCATCCACTTTAGTTCTCATCACTCCTTTCATATATTCCTTTTCCATGGTAGGGGAAACACCAAAACTGTTCCCCATGCAGAGTATCTCTGTTCTTCCATCAGGGTACGTCACCTCCACAGAGCCATTCAAAATGACTGACCAGGAATCCAGCTACAAATCAAATGTTGCAGGATAAGTGAAGATTGAATCACTTAACATTGTAGTACCATACTATGTAGATGCAACCCTTACCATTTTTCCAAAGTAAAAGTAATTTTTAGCACCCATAAAAAACATTTATAAGCTAGTTTAGCTTAAATGTGAAGCTATTTCCAGCTCAAGAAAACTGGAATCCTATGTTTAACTATTATGTTAAGAGTTTACGCAAGACCGTAACAAAAAAAATTAAAAAGAAAAAAAAAAGGTGGTTTTAAAATACCACTAAATACTGAAATAAACTCCCAAAATCGTCTCCAATAGGCAGGAAACATTTTGTATATTACAAAGAGTATTTTCTTATGCTTTTATAGCATAACGAGTGTTGTTCAAGTGGTAAAAAAAAAAGCTTTGAAACAAATGCAGAACAAAAAGAGGCAAAATTTATCTGATCGATGTTACTTATCCTTTTTCAATTTTTAAGCAACAAAAGAGGACCTTAACCCTGTGGAATCTGGGATGTCTGGTATAATGGTAGAGTCCAAAGTAACTTCTACTGACCTCTTCCCCATCATTTAGTACAATAGTTCCTGCTCTCTCCACAACTGCAAACACCATTACAGCACAGAGCTCCCTCCTCACTGACATTGTCATGTTGGCAAAAGCAGGCAATTGATGCATGAATTCCAGTAGTTGTTCTAAAGGAGAAAAAGCCAACTGAGTCGTGTATGTCAAAACAACAAAGCACAGTGAAGGCAGTTCTTCATCAATATGCCCTAAGCTACTTAAGCTAAAATGCTGCACAATCGTTTCTGTATACTAATAAATCATGTACAGTGGCCTGTTGTAACTACTGGGTATTTTGTAGACACAGACTGGCTGGTCATATCATCAATAGAAGCCCTGCAAAGCAAAAGCAAGTATAATGGAAGAATTGTAATGTAACCGAGAGCTCTGAAAACCACCAATAAAACTCTAATACTCAGCCAGGGCAATAAGTCCAAGAAGACCGTGATAGGTCATATAAAACACAGCAAGACATTAAGAAGGGAAATTTCACAAAACTGAGCAAATTACTTCATTACTAAAGACATCACGTCCTAGGCTAGACCTAACAGTAAACTGCATATGATCGTCATCTGGCATATTCACAAAGTTCCAGATAGACCAGGATTACTGTCTTAAAGGTGACTACAGCTGCTGTGTCTTCTGCATGCACTGGAATTGCACTTGTACTCAGCTGTGAACTTCTCCCATATTTTTGCTTTTTACATTGTTCATAACTACAGAGCTCAATTTTTATTAGTAGTCCTGCTGAGGGATTACATGCTCTAAATGCCAGACACCTTTGCATTCAGTTTGATCTAAAAAAACTAACAGAACCAGCCAACAGGACCCCATCTTTTTCCTACATTTTTATTCACTCAGAATCACAGAATGGTTGAGGTTGGAAGGAAACTCTGGATGTCATCTGGTCTAGCTCTAGCAGGGCCACCTACAGCCAACTGCTCAGGAGCATGTCCAGATGGCTTCTGAATACCTCCAAGGAGGGAGACCTCTCTACCTTATCTCTGGGCAAACTGTACAGTGCTCAGTCATCCTCAGAGTAAAAGAAGTGTTTCCTGGTCATCAGACAGAGCCTCAGTTTGTATCAGTTTGTGCTCACTGTCTCCAGTCTTGTCACCACACACCACTGAGAAGAGCCTGCCTCTGACTTTTTTTACAATCTCACTCCAGGTATTTGTATGCATTGATGACATCCCCTTGACCCTTCTCTTCTCTGAGCTGAACAGTCTCAGTTCTCTTAGATCTTCCTCATGTAAGACATGCTCCAGTCAATTAATCATTGAAAATCATACTTCGGCAAAAGAAAAAGATTAACGCTCAGCCTGTTAAATCAGATTAGAATAGAAATTGTAAGAATTTGAATTCTAGTTCTGCTTAGCTTTCAGTGCATCAGCCTGTACGTTAAGATAGCAAACACAAATGTCTAACACAAACATACCTCTGTGGTTAAAAAGAGACACAACATCAGAAGTTACAATTAAAAAAAATTTAATGAGATAAGCATCCAGTGTTGACATTAATGTTGACTTTGCCAAGGTTGTCTGTTTTCCAGTACACAAAGATGTTTACTTCATAAACCAGTTCTGACATCAATTAGAAGTTGAAGCTTGAGACCTAAAGGGCCAGCAAGTAGTTTTCACCCATATCATCTCTGTTATCCTCTTCCTCAACTCATTCACTCATTCTTCATTCACTGGCTGAATTTACAGCATTTATGAATCACCTTACTGAATAAACACTAAACTTACGAACTGCAAAAGCCAATGATTAAAATAAAATCTCAAGCTCAAAACTTGTTTGTTTGTTTGCTTGTTTGTGAAGGAGAAAAAGTTTGACAGTATTTTACTACATTGCAATACTTACCAATGTCATCATCTGTCCTGTCTATTGGGTCTTTCTCCAAGCAGTCTCTAACAATATCCCTACTCATCAAAGGATCCGATGCCCTTTCAATGTCTTCTTCATCATCATCATCCTCAGAATCCACTGCTGTCTCTGGCAACCCACTGAGATCCATATCACCAGCCTCACTTTCTGTAGCCTAAATTAATACATAAACAAACAAAAAATAAAAAAATAAAAAACCAACAAACATCCAGATGTGCTCTTCACAGTTTTCTAGTTAAATACACAGAAATTAATTCTATCACCTAACAGAACACTCAAATTCACTCAGTATTTTCATATTGCCTTATTTTTTCCGTATCTCTTTTTAAAACAACTAACCATTAATCAACCCAGAGCAATTGTTTAAACAGGGCTTTTAACACTTGTTCCAATCAGCCACACATAAACAGGATTCAACATACATTATTTAATGAGTAGGTCTTCAGGGAACTGAAGGCAGTTATATTTCAAGTAACAATTTCTTAGAATATTAGCTGAATTTTTTTTTTAAAAAGAACACAAACAGTTCATTTAAAATCATTTGTTTCTGTTCCTGCCCCAACTTTACGTTTTCAGACACTTAGGAATACAATGTAATTTTAAGTAGACAGTTTCAGTCCTACAGGAATTTTGCTAGCTCCCAGTAACCTAGGACTGATTTTTTTTTTTACAGTTCCAGTTGAAAATAGTTAAATATGGCTTTCATTTGCTGATAAACAATATAAGAATCTACAGATGCAGAGCAAATGCAAAGTCACTGTTTAAACACCACAGACGGACTATATAGGATATCTGCCAAACTTAACCTCCATCAAATTCTATTAAAATGAAGGAGAACATAATTCATGTAGAGCCTGAGCTCATTAGTATAGCATCTAAAGGTAAATATATTCTAATTATTCAGTTTTAAGACCAAACACTTACTAAATCCCACAAACATTTGACTGTCACAGCTGATAAAGCTGCTCGTTCTCAGAACCTGATTTAATACCACAGCAGCTGCCAAGGCTCAGTTACAACAATTTATAAGGAAATGCAAGCTTCTAATGAGCAAGTTTTAAGTTGTGGTTTGAGAAATTAAGTTTCACATGCCATACAGGGATGGTTTGTTTCTGAGACTCTGGAAGCCCACAGTAGAGTCACATCTACCTAAAAAAATACATGGGACAAAAGCACCTCCTAAAACCTGTTTCATCGATTTGTCTCTCACAGTGGTAAGAAAAAGCCCATCCAAAACTAGGTCACCCTCTAAACACAGAGAAAGTAAGACAAATTAGATCGGCATTTTCATAGAATCATCTTCCCTATTCCTGCCTCACTTGCTGTGGCTGACATCTGTTACTTTAATGCCATTATACATGGCCATGTTACAAACAGTAGCATATAGATGAGGAAGCATCAGGGCAGCTAGTGTCATTCTTAAATAGCTCTGTAACAGGATCTAGTTAATATAAAATGTATAACAGCACCTACACAAAATTCAAATGATTCTTACTTTGTGGTGGCTTTGTTTTGTTTTTTAAATTAAAAAAAATGCTGAGCATTTCCTAAGTAGGATAAAGAAGGATGTTACACTGGCATACAAACATATCACAGAATGATAGCACTGATAGCAGTGTCCATGTTAGCAATCTTACTGAGCTTAACATGCATGTTCCCTAAAATATATATGAAACAGTCTCTCTAACTACTTCTACAGAACAGCCTTCATCAAAAGTAAGTGGTGGAAAAATTAGTGACGATGAGTCAGTAGACGCAAAGCTTATGACACCAATCTGTCAGAATCAGAAGTCTCCAACAGTGACAATTCTAGTGACATTAGGGCTGACTAATTCACAGTCAATTTTTCATACCTTCCCATTACTAACAAGCGTCCCTCCTACTTGCTCACATTAAGCTCTCACAAAAGCACATTAGTAAAATGAATGCAGAACATAATGCTAACATACATGAGATAGTTCCACATATTGTACAAAATCTGATAATTAAAAGACAAGTTACTTGACTGTCCTGTCATGTAACTTGAATGTTACATGACAAAACAAAACTGGACAGAAGTTGAGAAGCTCTGTTATCAAGAAAAGTTGATGCTATTTTAAAAAAAATTCTCACACTAAAATTAAATGTAACTTTGTATTCAGAAAATACTTTAAAAATACTTCTAAAGCCTACAAGCATTTCTCAAAGATGGTAACTTTTTAAAGCTAATTAAATCTTTTTGAAGATTCAGAAAGCTGAATGATAAAGCAATTATTTTTAACTTACTAGTTACCGAAAAATACAAACCATTGCAATAAAAACACTCAGAATTGAATGCAACAATCCACAAAGTGGCAAGAAAATGTATGAGGTTAACTTAAGGTTTATTTTTGAAGGTTTCCTATCTTTTGAGAAAAAATTACTTTTTTTTTTCAAGCAACTTTCCAAAAAATGTTATGATTATACAGAAATTAGCAAAGGAACACAAACACTGCCTTTCCACATAGGCAATATGCATTCATGGTATCAAAGAATCAAACAACTCATCCCACGAGGACTACTTCTGTTCACATATACAAAAAGTTTTGCATGAGTTTTGTTACACTATTAAGCATCATTCGATCTATCTTCATGTTAAAAGCACACACCAGTTCATAAAAAAAATAACTGCAAATAGCTTCTTTAGGCTTAGTAGCATCAAATATGACATTAAAGATTCAAGGTCCTCTTGCTGATACATTAAACTTCATAACCCACCTACTTTGAGTACTTTTGTACTCCCTTGTGTGTTAAAAAAATCAAGCATTTCCACATAGGAACCCTTAGTTATAAAGCCAGAGCCATACATTTGTATAAGACTAACGGTAAAATCTTGATTAACTCTTTTCAGGACAGAGGCTTCCTGATAAACCTCAGCAGCAGAAAATCCAGAATACAAGATGAATACCCTGCAAAATTTGTACTACAGTCAATCACGAGGCTTAGAGCTTCCCAAGGCATATAATCAAGGATGAAATACATCTCAGAAATCAGTGTTTTCATAGGTGCATGTTGCCCTTTGTTTCTTGGGTAGTAATAGAAATTAGCTTCACTTAAATAAATCTAAGAGATTGCATGTAAGAAAAATGCTACTTGCAGCTTGTAGTACAAAACAAGGTTTCCCCAAAGTCTGAATACCAGTTGTAATGAAAATTTTCTTCACAGTTGGAAAGATGGCATGAAAAATTTGCTGAAGCTTCAAATGAATCACATAATGACAGCCTAATATTTTATTTGTCACATAGCAAACAAGAAAGTCAGGTGACTTAAGACAGACATTTTCAAGCCTAAGGTGAAGAGTTATTTCACAGTTGGTATCTAAGGAGACCTGCCCAATTTTAAGCAGTGTCCACAAAGAATAACACTGTAGAAAGACAAAAACGGTTGCTCCAACTGCTAAGGATCTCCAAGACCAAAGTCACTTCTAGATTTGAGTAATAACAGCTGATTAAACAAATACCAAGAACTAGGAAAAGATGGAAAGGAAAGGAGCCTTGTGTAAGTTTTCTCAGTTAGCCTTTAGCTCCTTGAGTAAATGTATGGAGGGGGGAAGAAGAACTATCATTCATTCCCTTTAGGTCAAACTGGACAGACCGAGGACCCTGTTCATTCCTTTAGACTGGTATGAGAGGAAACCTATTAAGCCCAACTCTACTAGTCTTTCATTTTTTTTGGAGGCATCATGAGGCCATAATGAGAGGTGATGGACGACCTGAACAGCTAAAGTAGATGACCTCCGTTACTTCCTCATTTCCTTTTCCAACCAATTTCTGGGTATCTGTTGAGAAAGATCAGAAGAGGCCAAGGGGGATGTTGGCTTATCCAACAGATCTACAGCTTTACAATTATGTGACTCTCCATGCTGCATCATAACTTCTTCATCACACACACACCTGTACACACACAGCAGCTCTATTATGGGAAAGAAAGTGAGAAGACTTGGAGAACTGCTTACAAGATGACTGGTTCTGTTTTAGCTGGCCTTTGTGGTCTTCTTTCCTACACTGGTTTGGGGAAAAAGCTTCCAGCTGTTCTTAACAATAGAAAGAAAAAAAAACCTAGAAAACCCCTTAAAATTAATCACATTAACTACTGATTACTTAGTATTTTAAACATAATATTTTAGTCTAGACTTTAAAAAAAAAATCTATTTTAACCACTTTCTTTAGGAAACATTAAGGAATAAAAAAGTATAATTTTGAGTAATAAATCCTCTTTGTGACTAATGTCACCACCTAAATCAACAATCCAAAATCTGCAAACATGCAAGACAAAACTACTGAGAAAAAAACATGAAAAAAGCACAGAAGATATCTGTTGCACAAATCAGAAATACGTTCATAGTTTGCTACAGTCCTTCACAACCATGAAGCTAACAAAGAAAGCAGCCAAGCTCAGCTCAAAAAAAAAACCCTATCAACCACTCCCACCTTATTTTTAATCATTACATTTTAAGAACTAAAAAATAAGCTACAAAATTAAATTAAGAATATTTATTAGTGAAAATATAATTTTCTTACATCATAATTTATAAGCCAATACTGATACAAACCAGCAAGATCACCAGCACTACACCTCTCATTAAATCACTTGCAAAAGTTCAATTAGATTTCCTCCTGTCATAAGACAGGTGCATTGAATCCAGCTCTTCCATAGAGAGAAAACATGGCTGAGGCTTTGGTTTACATTAGTTTTCAACTCACTGGGCAGAAGTTTACAATATAAATAAATTGCTATGACACTCAATCCATTAATTATAATAGGTATTTGTCTGTTAAAGAATTATCATATATGTAACAATCAACATTACATGCACACAACTCATAGAAAAATCTAAGGCAGTAAAATTATTTATTCATACTCTACTAACATAAGTGCAAATGGCCATGAAATACCTTAAAACTCCTTCAGTCTATGTTTTTTACTGTTCTGTCTCTTCATATTTATTCTTTCACTATCTACTACAAAATTTATAGCACAACAGCCCACATCTGTCACACGAGTCAGTCTGGGCACTATTACTCCCAGGAGATGGAAAAAAATGCAATAATGCAGACAACACACACCCAGGAACAGCATCCTCTCCTATCACCAACTAATTGCCAGGTTTTTTTCAAAGTGGCACAATGTTTGCTGAGACCACAGGCCACAGAACAAGGTCTCTGAAAGTTACTCCTAAGCTATTAATTGCAGGATAGATTAGAGGACCCTAACTCACCAAAAGGGATAAGGTACTGCATAGGACTTAACCAAAACAGCTAGGGGGAGTTCAGTAGGACCTAGTTTACCTAAACTGTTTCAGACATCCTTGCATTACCCAGAGTCCTGCACTGCAGAGGCTGATAAAGTCAGAAAAACTGACGATCTTAAGGGAACACCTCTTTCTTTTTCATAAAATAACTTAAGGGCAGGCTGCATGGCCTCTCTGGTTTTTCAAAGGAAGACTTTCTGGAAGGTGGATCTTTCTTTTATGAGCTACCATATCAGACTCATGAGAAAACAAAGTTGACATCTTGAAAATTTCCAAGCAATACACACATCCCAGGACGGTCTTGGAAAGGATGTTCTCTGTTTCTGTACTGTCAAGAATATCACCACAGGACACGTAGGGCCAGTAGGAAGCCACCTGGCTGAGGACAGTATAAGGCAAAGAAAGGCTGGGAAAGGAAAGAGCTGAGGCAACACACCACCACATTCCAGAACAAGGAGCGAGAATAACACACACTCATGGGCTTACATCTCCCTGTTCTCAAACTGGGATCATCAACTGGTAATATATCTGACAAGTATAGGAACAGGTATATATTGGAACGAGTGGCCATACGTAAGCAGCAGCAGCAAATTATTTGCTTTGCCAAATCAACACAAGTATTGTTATTGGCAAATACAACCCAGCACACAATCCATTAACGTTCAGCATCCTCTTCCTCTCCCGTCACATTAGAGAGTTAGTCACTTTATGAACTTATTTCTTAAAATAAAAGTAAAAACATGTAAGGACCTTACTGATTGGCACCTGAAATATTTTTGAGACTTGTATGGGGTAAACACAAAGGATTATTTATTTTATTTTGGTAAGTACTACTTATCCTAAAATAAGTTCTTTCATGCACAACATTCGCCAAACAAATTTAGTTACAGCTTTAATATTTAAAAGGAAACACTCTCAGCTCAATGCTGAAAGCATCTGAAGATTCAGCTTCATGATTTATTCAAAAAAATCTTAAAAGGCCATGAATGTATTTTCACTGCAAACAGCTGCTCTTAAGGCTACAGAACTAAAACTTACTAGGATGCAAAACATGATGTATCACTACCTCAGATTTCATCAGTGAAGATCAAATTAACAGCATAATTTAAAAAAGAAAACATTTTATTTATCATTTGAAAGCTAAGATGGCGATCTTTCTAAATAATTTCTTTCTATTTTGGCATAATGAACAGAAGTCCACTCTACTGAACAAAAAAATGCCATTATATACAGAATGTAAGAATCAGAAGAACAATGGTACTGAGCTTTGCCTAAGACCTATTAAATTTGAAGTAAAAAAATAGCATTGATATGACTTGGTTATAGTTTACTAGTTTTGAATAGACACTGGAGAGAGAATTAAAAGACAAAGAATTGAGAGAAAATGACTGATTCCATCTCTAACACAGTTGTTAAAAGTATTTCTGTTTATTTAACCCTTGACCCTAGAGAATTCAAATTACAGCCATTTTATTTTATTGTGGCGTTCTGTCAGCAGTCCTTTAACCTAACTTAACATCTCTACATTGCGTTCCTTTACAACTGAAATTGAGGTAAGAAATTAAGGATTTACAATATTAGAAATCATTAAATCACACAATACTTAAATTCAGGAACTTGAGAACCTAAGTTTATCAGTTTTCACATCTGAACTCACAAATTTTTTTCCCCACAAATGTTCCTTTACACATGTGTATTAACAAAAAACTATGAGGTTACATTCTGCAAAACATGCTCCTATTTCTTAATGTGTATACGGACATAGGTTACTTTAATAATTTCTCAGTTCTCCATAAATCTGTGCCAGGGCATCTTTAAATGAGGTATTAATTCTAGAGTAATTGAAGAAACCAGATAATATTTTTTAAAATCACCAAGAATGACAAGGTATCCTCGATTATTTTTTTTAAATTACATTGAAAATAATATTTCAAAAGTAGATGTTCCCCATGTAAATACTTCATAAAACCATTAAGTCTATTCAAACACCATCCAATTGATTCCATTATTGCAAATTGTATGCAAATTGTTATGGGAGTCATACACCAGGTTGGTGACTACATAAAGTAGTAAATACTGTACAGTATTTTTTTAATTTCCCAGAAATTCATTTATCCTTTTCACAGTTACAAAAGTTTCGCTGAAAATCTGCAAAAATTTACTTCCAACTTATCTAGAGAGTATGACTAGATCTAAATGCCACCTACATCTGTGTCTCTAGGAGTACTTGTTATTTTTATGTTAAAAATGCAGAATCTGTGGAATGAAAAGTATGAAAACCTATAGAAGACTTGAAGAACAAAGTTGATTTTATGTCTTCTTCACCCCCACTGTATAAACTTAAATCCTGTCTCCAATAATCTCTCAGAGGAAATTCCGACAAACATACTTGACTGGCATATGCTATGCCTAAATTGTTCAGTTACTTTGATGTTTTTCACAAAAATAAACCTTTGCGTTATTGCAATTACTGCCTAAATTGAACTGAGACCTTTTTATAGTCTATTCGCTTCCACAGAAGTGTCTATGAGCTTATTTACCTGAAGCAGACTATATGCTACAACTATGCTCACAACTGAACTTGTATAAATTTGTATATATGATGCTTTTCCCATTGTTTAAATGGCCATATTTGCATTTTAAAAAGCATCCCAAACAATCATTATTCTTTTTAGTAAATAGTATTTCACATAGAACTAGTGTAATAAATTTTTTTTGTTTTGATAGAACAACATTTTAATTTGATTCATATTTTTTCAGAGTAACAAATTGTTAAAGTTTCTTATAAGAAGTACAAACCCTCCTCTTTGACATTGCAAAAACCCTAAACATCAAATGAAGAATCTAGACCTTTACTTCAGATATTTTTCTACTTTTTGCTTAGAGCACACACACCCCAAGATGTTCTAGGGACTCTCTAGATCAGTTTCACAGTAAATCTCACCGAACTCAAGCTGCTTCAAATAAAGAGTATAGATCTTTATGACAGAAACTCCTCCCCGCAGAGGTGTAACAATTTAAAAACTCTCACCAGTTCAGTATCTTCATCTTTCCCAGGACAGCCAGAAGAGAAAGCACTACTGAGATGCTGCCACCACGTCTTTACAGGGTGGGAAAACAGGAATATGCCCCTCAAGTCAGGCCAGCACAGGCTGCTCAGTGCTTTCTCCCTACCATTGAATACGTTTTAGATTTTGAAGCTGGCACCTCTAAGAACTGTATAATACAGCATCAAGGAGGAGAAAAAACTCTCACATTACAAGGTCAGTAAATCTAAATCTATAGTTCTGAAATTCTGATCCAGGTTTAATCGTAACACCCAGCTCATGCGCAGTTTTTGTCAGCAGATCTCAAAATCTAGTCTTCTAGCACTAAACATCACAGCTATTGTTTTACACATGGCAAATTTGATAGAAAGATAAGGTGAAGTGTACGAGTCAGGAACAAAACCCCTTTACCTTCTAGGTCCCACCAGGGACCTCTGCTGGAGAGCCCACATTGGCTCTCTGTGCTGAAGTTCAGGATCATTTCCTCCCTCAAAATCACAAATTACAAACAAAATGAATGAAGTGCAATTCTCAAATGTTGCCAGACAATACTTTTCTACATTGGTAACCCAGATCCTGACACACTCTGGCAACACAGGTTATGTCACTACAGTGCACATTACTTGCAGTTTTCAAACATCAGACCTAGTATATGGCAGATAAACTCTAAAATCATTACAATTCAAACAAAAAAAAAGTTTTTTGAAATACATTGAGGGCTGCTTCAGACAAAAACTGAAAATACGCAATAGCATGTGCATTCAGCTATTAATATCAAAACTGTTTGCAACTGCACCTCTCATCACTATCCATTCCCAGTCTTACCTGGTAGATATCAGAAAGGCTGCTGCTTCCTGAATCACTGGTGATGCTACATCCTGAGTGACTAGATGAAACGTGGGTCACCTGTGGGTGGAGACTGTCAGTAAGGTGCAGCTTTGTGAAATCTGCAGGCAGCTATAGGTGGAACAGAAAAAGCATCATTACAATCTGAGGTAGATACACAGCAAAACTAATTCAAATAATTTTATGTCAGTATTAAAACCACTAGGGCTTGAGAATGTAGCACAAAAGTTTGAGTTTTGCAGGGGTTTTTTTATTCATTAAGTGGTCAGCAAAATACCACCATTTTGCTGCAAATATAAGAGATTTTAAAAGAACATGTATCCAAGGACAAACACCAGTGAAGCAATAACCCTTATTCCAAAACTTTTCAGTATCTTGCTATGAAGTATGGCTAGAATTAAAGTACCTAGAATATTGTACTAGTTTCAATATAAATGGTTTCCTATAGAATGGTATAAACAGTGAGTAAAGTCACATACTGTAAAAAACAACAAGCAGTGCTCTGGATTTGGCTAATTCTTTTGCTTCTGAAGTTGACCAAGTACATTAGAGACAAGTCCAAGCCACTGAGCTAGCCGTTATACTTTGAGCCAAGTAATATGATGGCAAATAGAAACTGTAGGAAGACTGGCACAACTGCAAAGGGCTACAATCCTGAAACGAGTTTGTTCACATGCACTGTTGAAGAATGAATTGAGAAGTACACTTGATCATTTAACAACCATCCACCAAGATTTGTGACATATTTTTATTATTGCTTTATGGATACAGCTCTCATGAAAATTTTTAAGGACTGTAAATGTTGCCAGACTGCAGAATGTGCACTTTGATAAAGGAAAATATTTGCTGTCTGAAGAAATATTTAAATGCTATTTCAGGGGCAAAAAAGCCCTCTCCCAAAGAAGCTTGAATCCTACGGCTAGTTAATAAAAGTATGTTAATGTACCAAGTTTGGTATGCAATACAGACTTTAATAATTTTAAAACCTCAACCAAAAAAACCCCAAACAACTTTTCTCATTAATTTTTTGTTTGTTTGTTTCGACTCAGACAAGGTAGATACTCTCTACAGCAGTGTGTTTGTACTAAGAAGGCCATACACAGTGTGTCCATCCATGTCAGTTACAAATGCTACCTTGGCACTATTACCATTCTCTCTGGGTGGAAATAAAAACAGCATTATGATATAACACATCAATCAGTATAAAAGGTTATGAAAAAAGCCATCTACAGTTCACAAGAGAGTGCGACTCAGAAAATTATTAGCTCTATACAATTAAATATTGTCGTGGTTTAGGGCTGGGCTGGCCACTACATCCTGGACAGACGCTCTCTATTAACCCCTCTCCCCTCCCCGGAAGGGAAGAGGAAGAGAAGAAGGGAGAGAGACTTTACGGGTTGGAAAATAAACTAACAGATTTAATGAAACAATAATATTAATACTACAGGATAATACGTAAATAAGAAAATAATATACAGATATGTACAAATATATATACAAAACCAATATAAAATCCTCCTCCCGTCCCTCCCCCAATGACGAATATGTCTCCAGAGGCTCTGTGGAGCCGGGCACTGGAAAAGTCCCAGACTGAACTCAGCAGCAGGTGGGAGCAGGATGCAGGAACACATGAATCAGGATCAGAGGCAGACGAACTAACAGGGTTCTGCTCAGACCTCAGCCATTGAAGGGGTCAAGATGGAAGAAAAGGTCCAAGATGGAAGGATTGAGACCCTCGTGATCCCTTGGCTTTATACCGCGTATGACGTATGTGGGATGGAATGCCTAGTTGGTCAGTTTTGGGTCCGCTTCCCCCCCGCAATAGGCACAAAACAGCACCCATGATGAGACAGTGGCCTTCTGATTATCACACTATCTGGAAAAGCATGCTGCTAGTTTCAGCAAGTTCAGCCACTTAGAAGAGACTGAGCTGAAAAGTAAAATCACTGAATAGAAAATTAGTTCTATTTAGCTCAAACCAGGACAAATGTATTGAATGACTGTACTGCTATTTGTCAGGTTTAAGTCTGTTGATGGACCATGCCTTGACAGAACCTTGGCTATAGGATTTGTGGTAGAAGCACAGACAACTGGACATCTTAGTCTTATTTAGACTGACCGACATTTCCTATTCTAATACACTTGAAGAGGATTTCTTCCTTATCACAGCATGATTTCATCAGTGATAGCAAAACCAGCTACATTATTTAAAGAATTCTTTCTTATATTTTACCTGAAAGTGGGGCTAAAAACAGAAACCAGACATTACTAATCCTAAAAATCTACAGTAAACCCAGAGCTAGAGTTGATCTTCAAATAGCAATCAACAAAGAAAGGACAATTAACAACAACAATACTCTAACACATACAGCCATGGATGCTGTCTCCAGAAAAATCTAAGTATGCTCACCACTGCTGATATCCCAAAAGGAGAAAACAAAGTGTCAAATAGTGCATTAATTATAGCATCCTTTATCTTTGCTATTTCCTTTTTCAAAATGTGAGTCTGAATTAGCACAAAACTGAACAGTATTTACTGATACGTGGGCCATTATATAAATTTTTATCATTATTTGAGCCATTCTACAAATAAGTATATATTCCATAGCCAGAATGTATAGCAAATGAACCACTACAGCTTTTGCAATGTGTTGATGACTACTCCTAAAAGTACAATCTTTTAGAATTAAAGTAGTCTGGGTTTATTTCCAAGAAGAAATCCTATATATAGGATGCATGCACAAATAATCTAAGATTTGCACATTTAATAACTCACACAGATAAATTATTTTGAGAGTTTTACATTTTATAGAGGCATGATTACTGCAATCACAAGTAAAAATTAACTGTATACGGAGGTGCATGTTAACATGGTCTTGAGCCCAGCCAAACATGTTCAGCTTTTCAAAGTGTCCTTCAAATACTTCCATGTCATTAACAATTGCATTTATTTTTTTTATCAATGCCACAACAATTCATAAGAACTTTACATCGAAGCAAATCCAGTTAGCATGTTAAAAGTCAAATCAAACTATGTTTAACATAATGACTGCACTTAGTGTTTTAAATGGACAGCAAGGATTTACATTTTGTTACTACACAGGCAATAGGAAAAGGCAAGGGATTCCACAGTAAATGATGAAATACACTGCAAATAAAAGTGACTCTTGTGATTTTTTTTTTTGGCTGCAGACTATCAGCTGAATGTTTGGTGATTACTGGCTTCAGAATAAATCCTCAAGTCAAAGCCATGCTGCATGAGCTGGATTTGCCAAGCGGTGACAGCAGATCAGAAGCAGTCACCCTAACTGATCACTTTGATCCTCATCAAATAGGACTACAAAAAGCACAAAGCACATGCCCATACATTTGCAGAATACTACATCTCTGTGCTTCATGCCTGAAAGCAGCATCCGCTTCGACTGCTCTACCCCAAATAAGTTAAAGTGAGAAGCTGTGCAAGGAAAAAAAAAAAATATTAAATAAGAAACATTTAAATTGTGAGCTAAATGAAAAGTTTGTGTGAGAAACACACAGATTTCTATCTTAGTCACATATTGCTATTTAAAACATTTAATGTACAGAGTTGTACACATGGGGAAAACAAGAAAAGCACTGATGACAATTAAAATCCACATATGCTTAAATATTGTATGTAAGAGGCTACACCTGTCACACTTGGAGCACTATGTTCAGTAAATGGTTTCAGTAAGCAGAGAAAGAATAAAATGCAATGTTCAACAACCTCACTAATGTCAGCAACCAGCACAAAGTTGTCTGCCCCAAACCAGGACATTTACATCTAGTTTCCTACTTGCTCATTAGAAAATAACATCATGAAACTGTGCTATTATATTCAGTAAAAAAAAAAATTGTTAGGATCATCAGTCTCTGCTTTTGGAAAACATACGGCAGTTCACTGCAACAGGTTATAAATTGCTGTGAATATCACTTTATTCTGAAATTTTTAAGCATTCCCTTTTATCTTGTGTTCTGTTTTCATTAAATGATGGCTAGTTTTAAGCAGACATCCAAAGCAATAAAGATCAAAAGCAATTTGTGTATTTTACATAACAAGCACTTATTTTTCTTCAACAGTAAACTACAGCTTTGCTGAAGCCAGCAACTACAGTATTTCATAACCTTATTACTGAACACTTGGAGTCACAGCATCAGAAGGAACTAGCAGAGAAAGTAAAAATATAGCTGAGTAACTTAGAAAAAATTAATGCATGGTTTGCTCTTAAGTAAATATAATTTCAAAATACATTATATGTATACTGCATGAAATAATTAATAGTCAACAAAAGGGCCAGAGAACTGTCCTAATAGCCTGTTTTCAGGACAAACTTCTTAAGGGAGAAACAACAAGGCTGCATATGTACAGATCTAATGAAGTATAACAAGGTATCTCCATTTTGAACTGCACAATACCTTAAACCCCATCACATATTCCTATTTTTAAAAAAAAATAAATTATTACTTCCACCCTCAAAGTGAATCACTGCTTTACGCATGAAAAGCTAACAACTACTTTGCTCTGAATACGTTCCTCCTATTTTAAGAACATCATTATTTTCTTTTACCCTACAGTGTGCCTTTCTGTGTAACAACAGGCAACTTGTCTTGCAACTTCTACTCAAGAAATCATTGGGCTTATCAAACTAATACAGTATTTTTAAAAAACAATAATTTCAGAACATTTATTGGGCAAGAAATTAAAGGCTTCAGCTATAGCATAGAAAGGTATGAAAACAGCAAAACATGAGTGAAATTATACCAAAACCTTTTCTTGATTTAAACAGTACTCTTCTATAGTTTTTTGTTGAGGAGTTTTCTAGGGGTTTTTTGGGTTTTTGGGGGTTTGGTGGGTTTTTTTTCCTTTTTTTTTTTTTTGTTTTATAAATGTAGTTTAATGTGAAAACAAAGTATAAATGCAACAATGGCAAAGACATACACAAGAAGGTAATTTTGAAATACAAGAGGAATTCTGGCTGGAGAGCTCCAATATACCACTCATTTTAGAGCAAACATATCTGTAAGCATTTCATAAACAAGGTCTTCTACTGAAGGCTGGTCAACACTTTGTGAAAGATTTATAAAGCTGGAAG